TCGGGCCAACCTAATAATATAACAAAAAAAACATTCTGAGTTAATTAGAGGCTCCGTCATTGAGTTTGGTACCATTTTAGTGTTCAGAATGTTGGAAACCTTTTGAACCAACCAAATCTGTAGCCTCAACAATCTGGCGATGCATTTTTTGCCACATAGTTTAAAGGACACCGCATGTGATTGAAGCGCGATATCTATCAATGCGTAGATTTACATTATTTTTGGCTCAAAAAAAGGAGGGCAATGGTTTGATTCGCTTTCATCGTTATAAGATGGATTTTTGATAGTTCTAATCGTCCAATTCAAAAAGGGCCAAACTTATGTGAACTCTCCGATATTTATGCTCGAACCAACCCAGTTGGTCTGGTTTGGTCTAGAAACCAACAAATTCGGGAACAAACATTAGGGCACATAAGTTTTTGAAACTTTTTACATAATAGAGTTTGGAGTAATTTTTAAACATATAGCCCAAATTCGGTGTCATGTGGTTATTTGTGCGCTGTAAACAAGCCATTTGTTTGTTTGAGTCTTGCGTTTGAAATCGCGCGCTTGCGAAAGAACACGTTCAACTCGTAAAACCTGACATGTTTGTCGTTCTTTTCGGGGCTTCGCTCCTTGTGAAAACGATACTTGCTTCTAAACTCAGTCCAGTTTGACCCCTGACCATCTGTGCCGGGCCCTGTTCGTTAAACCTGCTTTGCTCTATCGAAACATGCCGCAATGCTTTTTCCATTGATTAGTGACTAAAGCCCCGCGTTCCACCCGCCACTTCCGATGAATGAAAAGGTATACACAAGAAGCTACCTCCTTAGGCCTCGGGTAGAGTTCATGCGATTTTGTCGTCGCAGTTCATCGCTACAAGACAAGTTTACGAGTTCATTGCATGCCAATCTTCTTGTACTTCGGTTGTGATAGTTAGTCACGATTAGTCTTGTGGGAAACTATCACAACCGAAATGCAATAAGATCGGCTTGCAATGATATTGTTACAGTTGCCTTGTCACGATCAATCGCGACGATGCAATCGCGTGAACTTTGCTCGAAGCCTTATTCTCTTCCTATTGTTTCCGACGCTCATCTGTATTTGATCTCACTTGTAATAATCAACTCCGTCTTTGCCTTGTTTAGAAATACACCGTGGCATTTCCTCTTCTACTGAAAATACCTCGCTGTCTTATTTTGGCATATCAAAATAATTTTTCACCTTGGAAGAATGGCTCTATCAAAAGCGGAAAACTATATCTCGAAGGAAGTTCGATTTGAAAAGAACGGGCCAAAGATCAAAAGCGAAAATCGCAAAGTGCTGCGCACATCTTCCATCCTTTCAGCACGTAGCACTTTCGCAGGGTTTCCGCAGGTCGGCAGAAATGATGCCAAAGTGCTGCGGAAATTGCCTGTTGTCTGAGACTGCCAGATCACGCAGCGCTGCAGCGAGTATTGTGCCTTAAGGGCCGGACATACTTCACGCGATTACAGTCGCGACGCAGTTTGGCAATATTCCAACTGTCCATAACTCATTGCAAGCACATTTTAAGTGTACAGGAAGTAGGACATTTCATCAGTCCACGTAAGCTATACACACTATGCTTGTGCAGCTTGCTAGCGTTGGATCTGAAGACTTCTGGCGAATTGCCAAATAGCGTCGCGACTGAAATCGCGTGAAGATGCCCGGCCCTTTAGGCTTAAAGCTGGGAGTCGACCATAGCAATGACAGGTTGATGCGCACTTATCATGCCGTTTCTGACCACTATACTTGGGTCCGAATCGAATATAAATTCGATCATTGGAAAAAACATTCGAATATATTCGCATTCGAAATTCGATATTCGCGGTTTTTTTATTTTCAAATAATACTCGAGACTCGAATAATTGAAAAAACGGGTTTTTCAATAGACTTTGCTCGAATTGGTATTCGAGTAAACTCCGTGATTAGATTATTCGAGTTTGTTGCAGAGCCAACTGCTGAGTATTACGCTCGCTTCGTCTGTGTTTTTTTCTCGCAAAACTCGGTAATGTATCTTTTCGCAACCTTGATGACCTTTGAACTGTATGAAAAGATTCCTCCGACTGCTTGCGACAAGGTCTGGAATTTGATTGATGCTTTTTCGATCAATGAGATAGTTCGCACTGCTTTTGGCACCAAATCAGCAAAAAAAGCAGCTATCGAATTCAAGCTCATGTTCCGAGTTCATATACTGAGAATGAGGATGCTGGCAAATAATATCTATTCTATTGATTTCACCAATTTTTGGAAAATCTTGGGCTAGGGCTTGGTATAGGAGATGGGAGGTAGGGTATTAAGAATGGATCGGCTTTAGCCGAGTATGTCAGCAAGTTTCAGACATGGTTGCTCTGGTTATTCGATAAACCAGTGCGTCACCTCTGCTTCGCAGAGGCTCGCACTGGCCCTACTTTATCTATGCCTTACTCATTCCCGCATAATAATTACACTGAAACTTACCGCGCTATGTAGGCTATTACGAATGATTCCTAAACGACTACTCATTCCTAGAGATTTCTCGTGTGAGATCGGTATTTTCGCATGTGTGAAATCTTTCCCAGAAAAAAAGATGCAAATTTGAATAGGTTTTTGAATTTTTATGGCTTTGTAGTCGCCTTAAGGACAATAAACATCGTGGGCTATATCTCTGTGCAAAAATCTTCTCAAATTATCGGGTAAAATCTTGAAAAATTGACCGTTTACGCAGCCAATGCTTTTTGGCGCTGTTTTTGTAAAGTAGTAGACTTTTCACCACTTTTTTAGGCTAACGTCCATGGCTTGCACATTAACTTGTCAAATATATCCATAACTCTGCAGAAAGTAGTACTACGGACCCAAATTTGCTGGCCAGAAGCCAGGTGGATCCGTTTGACGCGCAATTTTCAACGGATCCACTCAACGGTTTCGCTCTTGCTTTTGTATAGTGAGCTTTCATGCTGGTAGCGTGCGCTATGCAAAATTTGGGCTCAGGACGTTGGCCGGAACACGCTCTACGAATTTTTCGTAACGGACAGACACACACACAGATAAAAAGACGTAAACATCCTTAGCCGCTTATTATAAGTTATGATCATTCGAATATTTATTCGAAATTTGACTCCCAATGTTCGAATATAATTGATTCACTCCTCTTTTGATTTACCGATTTTATTCGAGATTCATTCATTCGAGAAATTTTAAATCTCAAATTTATTCGATATTCGATATTCTAGATTTTTTATTTTCGAATTTATTTACTATTCGTTTATTCGAAATTTTCCATTTATGGATTTATTCGATATTCATTCATTCGATGAAAAATTTCGAATTTATCCAGGTGTACTGTACTGACCACTGACCATCTTCTGGAAAATCAGTGTTTTCCATAGGCTTCGTAATCTATGTCACTGCTAATCTTGACTTACTTGATGGGTTTTTCCCGTAGGAACACATAAAGACATGCTCAGTTATCATCTATTCTACGACTAGGAGACGCGCGCCCGCATTGCGGACATTGTCTTAACATGTTTGAATTTGTTCTTCCCTGTTTCCAAAGAGTGAGTAAACGTAGACGAGATAAATGACAAGTATTAGGTTGTCCGGAAATTAATGCCCGTTTTGAATTCCAACCGCAGTAAGTCATACATTTCTCATTTCTAAATCGGTTGCAAAGCAACGTTCGATAGAGCAAAGCAAGCTCTACAAGATGGCTTTCTTGCTTTTGCAACAGCTCTCACCCACCTCGAGTTTCGAGCCAAAAACTAAAAAGACTCAGCAGCCCGAAAAATCGAAAAAAATCGTAACTCAGTCCATAAAAATCCTACAAAAATTCTTACTTGCTCACGTAAACACTATCCACATAAAACATCTACATGCGCCTTTGCTGCATTTTTTTCTCTGTTAGAAACCAAGAAAACGGGAATTTTCGTGCATTTGCCAAAGTGATGCTGAGCCATCCCCACATAGGTAGTTGTACACCACAAGCCCGTAGAGGTACGTACTTGAATTTTCAGCTCTCTACAAGCTTTAGTTCTCGAGAAATTTGAATTTTAGCTTGGACCACCTAACTAGGGAGAGCTATATTCGGTATTTCTCGAGGACAAAAGCTTGTAGAGAGCTGAAAATTTAAGTATGTACCTCTAAGGGCTTGTGGGTTACAACTGCCTATGTGGGGATGGCTCAGCATTACTTTGGCAAATGTAGGAAAATTTCCGTTTTCTTGGTTTCTAACAGAGAAAAAAATGCGGCAGAGGCGTATATAGATGTTTTATGTGGATAGTGTTTACGTGAGCAAGTAAGAATTTTTGTAGGATTTTTATGAATTGAGTTACAATTTTTTTCGATTTTTTGGGCTGCTGAGTCTTTTTAGTTTTTGGCTCGAAACTCGAGGTGAGTGAGAGCTGTTGCAAAAGCAAGAAGGCCATCTTGTAGAACTTGCTTTGCTGTATCGAATGGTACTTTGCAACCTATCTAGAAGTGAAAAATGTATGACTTATTGCGGTTGGAATTCAAAACGGGCATTAATTTTCGGATAACCTAATATCCTGCTAAGTACACGATTAAGCTTGTTTAGATAATGTGTGCAAAGCGGTCTCGAGTCTCCTAGTCCTAGAATGAATGATATCTTAACACAAGGAAAGCAAATGAGTGATGCGCTAGGAGTATGGCATAGGTGTTTTAGTTTGAAGAGAATTACAGTGAACCCGTGGAATATGTATAAGCGAGATTATAGACGTCTCTCACAATCTCTCAAAATGGCAAAGTCGAAGAAGTCAGTTATGGCAGGATGTCGAATTTTAAGGAATTGGAACAGTAATTTTGATTTTGCCTTCCCTCGCGGAAAACTTCCGGCAAGAAAAGTTGTGAGCAATTTTGTCGCAACTGGCAACCACGGTTACGCCGCGGCGGCATAGAGCAACGGCAAACTCGGTGACTCTCCGTCTTTGTAGGTTGAGTCCGCTGTAGCGCAAAGATTTTGCATCGTCTGCAAATGGTTGGAAATCGCATACATAAGCTACGTAGCTGTTTTATGAATCATTTTATCTATGATTATGGTCTAGCGATATGTCTTCCTTCAAGCGAATCTTTCCATTTAAAAGTATTAGTTGAGTCCTAATCATGTCACTTGTACCAATAGCACAAACATATATAGAAAATCACGCATAAAAATAAAAATTGCTTACATAGCTGACTGGCTCAATGAGAGCAAGATAAGGAGTGGAGCCTAGCACTCCGCCCTCAATGCAAGTATGGGGTTCTGGCGTGGCCAGAACAATATGGCACTAGATATCCTCGTTCATTTGTAACTCAGTATGAGAGTCTGCACACCAGGCGCGGCGATCGACGACATTTTTACTAATAACTCATCAATAAGACCTTTTCTAGCGTAACAAACCAAAGAGATGTGTATTTTTAACTGAGCATATTTAATTAGAAAGAGACAAGGAAACGAGAAGAAATTATGGAAATGTACAGGTTCTAATTTACATGTGGTCAAGTAGCGGGCTTGGTGTGCGACGCGTACTGAGTAACAAACAACTCGACGAAAGAAATACTCGTAAAATCATTTAAAGCCTTGGGTTGAGGCACTCTGATGGAGGAGGTTCAAAATATTGATTGCACAGCACAGCTTCGAAGTGCCTCTCAGCCGCGGGAATCCGTAGTCCATTTATGGAGATCCATGGGACCTGAGTAAGAAGATCAAGCACTGTATTCTCACTTGGCTGATACCCTATTCATACCCAATAAACATCCTCGGCAAATACGTGTGCAGCTTCACCGTGCTGCGACATCAGCTTCATTCCTCTACCATTTGTGGCGCATTCCAATATGCTGTAAAGAAGCGGATTTTTCAAATATTCAACTTCCTTGACCTACCTAGCTTGATCTATTAATCCATTACGTGGATGATTAACAATACAGCTTTGAAAGGAGGTGTTGAAATTTCTTGGACCTTGGATACATCCCACTAGAAAATTTCTTCACAGTTTTTTTTTTTCACAATTTTCTGGGTATGCGTAATGTTACCTATATCTAGGTGGTCCTCCGCATTTGGTAAGGCTTCAATCAAACAAGCTTGTAGAGCGTTTTTCTGACATTCATCACTTCCATGTTGGCAGGTGCACCTATAAAGATCCACGTATAATAGAAATTAGGCTGACCAAAATCTCTGTCGTTTTATATTTGATTCGTGAATTTTCCTTATTTGAACGAATCTGCTTAATGCTAATGTTGTCAGAAGATAATTTTCACTGCAATAACAACCTGGGCCCGACACGAAGTGGGCAAATGACAGGCTGGAAATCGTTTAGGGTAAAAAGGCGAAAAGGATGTCACTTTTAAGGGGGTCCGGGGCGAAGCCCCGCATAAAATTTTTTAGTTCATGCTCTGTGCTCATTTTGACTAATACCTCAACAGGCACGGAGTTCGCTCGTCAAACCGCTCGCTAATTGCCGCACGCGCGACTTCGCTCAACCGATGCTATTGGTAGCAGCATACATGACTAATTCTCAATGCAAACGTAACGATCTGGCACCAAATTTCGTAAGAACGAAGAGAGGATAGTAGAAACAAGGTATGAAAAATTTTGACAAACTTATGTGGATGGATGGTGTAGTAAGCATTTTTTCCAAACATTTGGCATAGCTGGTGAATAAAGATGTGAAATCAAAAGGCTCCCTTGCAACGGGCAAATGACGATATGGAATGAAACCTGCCACGTACACGAACAAGGGCCTGGGGGAGTTAACTGAGAAGATTCACTGAAAAATTATGTGAATGAAGGCTGTGACAAGCTTTTTTCCGAAAATTTCCAGCTACCAAAAAATGAAAAAATGACTCGTTTGCAACGCAGAGATGACGAAATCGCGCGAGGTTTGGTATGTACACGCGTAGTAGGACTAGGCGGCAAATAAAAAAACCATGGAAAACTTATTTGAATGAAGAGCGTGTCCAACTTTCTTCCAAATTAGGTTGCCAATTGCCAACCTAATGACCACCTGAGGTTGGCAAAACTTCCACTGCACATAAGTCTTCCAAAATTTTCACATAAATCTCTTCTACACCTAAAGTTCAGTATATAGTAACATTTTGGTTCCAGTAACCCTCCTTTCCTCCTTGTTAGGATCAAAAATAGCAAAGACGCCGGTTCTTCGGCGGAAGAAAACGCGCTCCAATCGAACACCTGCTCAGCTGGCGGGACAAGCGGGAATCGTGAAAATCAATAGTGGCAAAGGCAAAGTCGTTTTTCCAATGTCCATTTGCCACCCTTGTGCTGAGTCCTGGTAACAATTTGACAGCTTTTTACCAGACACTGATTGGAGACATGAGATGGGAGAAGAAAACCACACAAGCTTCGATCATTTTAAGCTAGGTTGCAAAAACTAAAATCTTGAAAATACCTTTTACTTAAGATTTATGACCTATTCTTTGTAATTGAGAAAGTATATGTTATTGGAAAATTCCATGGCTGTTACTGCATAGCCTAGTCTTTCATACTAGAAAACTTTGTGCTAATTGCCGTTTCTAGGAAAAGCTATATTTTATTTAAAAAAAATGCCAAGAAAATTAATTTGGTTTATGTGTGCTGACTGCTACTACCTCAAGATCATAATTTTTGGTAAAGGCGCCAATTTAGTTCAAAGTTCTTCCACTTTGAAAGATTAGGTCAAAAAAGTGGTGTTCTGCTTTTTTGCAACATCTTAGAGTTTTGGCAACATGATTTTAAAAAAAGGATCAAGTAAACCGCTGATTGCAAGATTACACAAATATAGATGAATGAGAAGGCAGAACCTTTGGTCCAATCCAAAATTTCTCTTCTAGTTCGCTTTCTTGCATTGATAATATTTAACAGAATAATTTCTTTTCCAATTATTCATATGAGACATCATCAATCCGCTTAATGTCATAAAAATGTTTTGAAAAAGCAAGCTTATATTCGTCACTTAAACGTTACACTTACTCAAATCCGCTGGAGGTCCTGGAGCACTTCGTGTACTTGTAAGGCCCATATGGATGGTAATTTAGCCGTAAACGAGAACGATATCTCTTGAAAACTGGTAGCAGCTGATTCAGGTAAAATCTGCAAATATAGAAGTTACCAATGAAGAAGGTCAGCAGGTTACTACAACTACCTGGTGGTATCTGGGCATCTTGACTCGCCGACTACATCTACTACTACAACATTGCCATTTTGTTCGTCGATAGAATTACCGGGGACAAATGGAGGAGGTGGTGTGTTTGACTTGACCAGCGCAGCTCGTGTAGTAAACGGCATAAGCATCAATGGCAGGAAAACGAGCATCTGAAACAAGCCACTCCATATAAAATATAATCTATGCTAGGCTTCCTTATAAGAACGTGTTCATAGGGGAGTCATCGCATGCAGAGAATGGACGCCGTTGCATGCAACGAAGATAGCACGTTCTTGAGGGAGACAGCAGAGGATGAGAGGAAGTGTGTGCTTGATAAGAAGAGACGCCGCCAGCTTCCGCAATTGCGCCCTACTTCTGCATGCGACGAGTCACCTATGAACCTATTGTGAAGTGGTTCATTGTTAAAAAAATGTTTTTATGCTCGAAAACGGGAACAACAGCACTGGACTAGCAATCCACGTGATAAATGTAAACAATATACACTTCAAGTAGAAACAATGTAATTCCGCTGGCGCATAAATTATCCCACCCTTAATGCGCGGATAAGTGATCAAAGATTACCCTTACATGTTCAAAAATCCCAATTTGACATTATCAGGAAAAATGGCCGCGGAAGCAGTAAAATTGGATATAACGAGGTTACTGTCTCTGCACTGTCGAGTAGAAGAAGAAGGTGCGCCAAACTTTTGGCACTTGTTGTGTTCTTTTCACTAAAATTACATTGCATTTAATTTGATTTGAAGATTTATTATTTGATTTAGTAATTGATAGATAGTTCAATGCTGGAGTAGATGCGAGATTAAGGGCAAAGTTAAATTTCTCGTACTTTTCTCCCAAGGTATTCGTCTGTGACTGCGTTTGTATCGCGGCATCGTTTTTACTATGTGTTCCCAAAATAAAACAATCAAATAAAATAAACTTTGAAATAGCTGACGGCAAACACCCGCTGTCATCATTTTCTTATGCACTTGCCATTCTTTTCTTATGACCCGATCTGCTTATAGAAAGTTTGTAGAACAATGTCAGCAACATATGAAAGAAATAAAAGCAGCGGAGAAAGCGGTGAAGAGACCACAGCGATAGTAGCGCATTGTGCCACAAAAAATCGGAAATGAGCTACATTTTATTCGATTATTGGAGGTCGTCAGTGGCACATTATCAAGAGTGAAAAGTTGTTTGCTGCTTTAGAAGTTTTCTAAAGCCCCGATATTGAGATTCTTGAAGACCTCAAAAAATGCTTAATGACTGCAAAAATTGTACTTTTTGCAAGGCCAAGGGTGCCACTCTCAAAACTTCTATTTTCCGACGCTCTCCTTGTCAGAAATAGATCAGAGCAGCAAATCGAATAAGCATTAGCACAACCCCAGCAAGGTTGAATCTTTGACAATAAGTTTCAATGTACCAGATCGTTTTGCAAGTTTTTTTGGTAACTCCTTCAGAACAAATCAAGGCTTTTCCTTCGTATGTCCCTATACAAATAGAACACATCATTGCACACACAGGCACCACATTTTTGCGTTAATTTTTTCTGTTGTTTGTTTCTCACAATCTAGTAATTCTGATGCATTTTTTACTGTGAAAGAAGCATACTTTCAAAAAATGTGGTAGTTGCTCAGCAAAAAACTAAGGGTCTACAGATCATGATCTTATTCAACCATAAATCTCAATTGTATGCTAGAACAAAGGGAATACTGATAAACTCCGAACGTTTTGACGTTTTTATGGGTGTTAAAAACTATTATATTAGGTTGTCCCAAAAGTTCTTGCGCCGGATTTTCAAAAAATCATTTCTTCATTACCACTCGATGGATTTTCTTGACTTTGATTTCATTTGAAAGAGGAAACCTTTCTCTTTACAATAGTTCCTTTGCCATGAAATGGCGTGAAAAAGTTCCAAAGCTAGAAGCAATTGAATGAAATCAGTCAAGATCAGCATTTTTCATGCTGGATCACGAAAAATTCTGGAAGTATTTTTATTTGATAGAGAAAATTTCGCACATTACAGTGGTGCCATTTTCATGAATGAAAACGAAGTAGATCGAGAGTTAAAAGCAAATAAAGAGAATTTCTTCAGTTTTGCAAATTTTGAGCTTGATCGAAAAAGCTTGAAAACGTCACAGAATAGGCGAAAAAGTCATAAACATGGGTTTTGTGACCTTCCCTTTCTAGCTGAGTGAAAATCGTACCAATCGGGAGCAATTTTGATTTTCGTGAAAAAGGCAGACCCGAAAATCCGAATAAATCACGAAAATCAAAATTGCTCCCGATTGGTACGATTTTCGCTCGGCTAGAAAGGGAAGGTCAGAAAACCCATGTTTATAACTTTTTCGCCTTTTCTGTGACGTTTTCAAGCTTTTTTGAGCATGATCAAAAATTGCAAAACTAAAGAAATTTTCTTTATTTGCTTCTAACTCTCGATCTACTTCGTTTAAATTCATGAAAATGGCACCACTGTAATGTGCAAAATTTTCTCTATCAAATAAAAATACTTCCAGTATTTTTCGTGCTCCATCTTGAAAAATGTCGATCTTGACTAATTTCCTTCAATTGCTTTTAACTCTCGAACTTACTAAGCCGATTCAAGGCAAAGGTACCTCTATAAAGAAAAAGGTTTCTTCTTTCATACAAAAATAATTTTGAGAAAAATCGTTGAGAATAGGAAGTTATGATTTTTTGAAAATCCAGCGCAAGAACTTTTTGGACAACCTATTATTAGGTTGGCTCGAAAGTTCTTGCGTAATTCAAACATAATTTAATAACTTTTCAATACCTGAACCTAAATTCACAATCCTGTTCTCTAAAAATATTAGAAGGCTTGCGCTCCATGATGGACTTCTAAGCACAAGATTCCATGAGCTAGCCCCCGAGAACGAAGCTCTCAAAGATGAGGCTTCAAATTTTGCGATTTTGAGTTTGGTCCCAGAAAATTGCAGAGGGTCGCTAGCTCGCCGAAAAAAATCTGTAAAAATTATTTAAAAAGTAGAAGTCCATACCTTATTTTAGCAGGCTCTGATCTCGCATGGAAATGCGAAAACAAAAATTTGTGGGGATTTGTCATTTTACAGGATAAATCCCCTTATCGCTGTAATTTATCCACAGAAACACAGTTTGCAATCAGAAATAAGACATAGTCCCTATTTAGAACCTTGCGACGTTTTCTGGAGTGTAAAAAAGTGTTTTTGCAGAGAAACTGCAGTAATGAGGGTTTTTTCCGCAAAATGACATATTTCAGGACTTTTTTGTTTTCGCATTTCCATGCGAGATCAGAGCCTGCTAAAATAAGGCATAGACTTCTACTTTTTAAATAATTTTTACAGATTTTTTTCGGCGAGCTAGCGACCCTCTGCAATTTTCTGGGACCAAACTCAAAATCGCAAACTTTGAAGCCTCATCTTTGAGAGCTTCGTTCTCGGGGGCTAGCTCATGGAATCTTGCGCTTAGAAGTCCATCATGGAGCGCAAGCCTTCTAATATTTTTAAAGAACAAGATTGTGAATTTAGGTTTAGTCATTGAAAAGTTATTAAATTTTGTTTGAATTACACAAGAACTTTCGAGCCAACCTAATATATTCGATTACCCTAATTTCACGCCTACAAGGCGCGGGGTGGTCCTAGCTTTCATCGAGCTGCTCAGCCGCCCCAACGTGTTTTAAGAAGCGATCCTTATGCCGCACGATTCGTCAGGCAAAACGCAGCACGGTATGGGGTTCCTTTGGTTGCGAAGTCCTTTGCCGTGTTCGGGCTGGTCGATGAAAGCTAGGACCACCCCGCGCCTTGTACGCGTGAAATTAGGGTAGTAAATCATATTTTACATCTAACGAATGACAAGATTTTGACAAAAAGGTGCATTCATTTAAACTTTCTCACACCTTTTTCATCTAAATAGAGAGCAACGAGCTTTTTGTACTATGTGACTCACGTTAATGATACCGAAACCTCTGATTGTAAATGGCATCCCAAGTGGTCTCATTTCTGAACTACGGCTTGATCTTTGATCTCTGTAAATTGCCCAGCTATCATCAAGCTTTTATTGCAGAATTTTTTGTTTTTTTTTCCTTTGAAAGGGACCTTATAGATTTGCGATTACATGCTTCACAGGATAGATTTACAAAAACGTCACGCGTCAATAAGGTCCATCGAAGTCTGATTGATGCAATCAATGTACGTAGCAACCTCTCGCGAAAATTCTTTAACGAAAAAAGCATGGCAAAACACCGTTACTTAAGGAGAAAAATGGATTTTTGCGGAAGAACAGGATTAGGAAAAAATTGATCTAGCAGTCAAAGAATATACGAAATTTGCAAATTTTTGATTAGGAGACTCGTATCCGATATGCGGAGAGATGAATGAGAAAAATCGGAAGGTGCGAAAAAGGCTATAAACATGAAGTTCGTTCGGTTCGATTAACAAGGGAAGCGTCTTTAGTCAAAGTGGCCTTTCCGCATGGCACCTACATCACTTTGTAGAGTATTAAACGATGATTCCGAATCTGTCTTCCATGTCTGCCAAGCGCCTCTGGAGGCCGAGTTATGATCATTTTTTAAGTCAAAAAAAATGAATGCACAACTGGGACAAAGTCCGCCAAAAGTGCTCAAATGGTCAGGTGTTGATTATCAGAGCGCTTCATTTAATGGCTACTTTCCGTCTAATACCCTCATACTCAACAGCGCTTTATTTGAGCGCAAGAAAAACCGTAATTATTGTTTTTACATAGATTCTGCGTTCATTTTTTGCTTCAAAAAATACTCATAACTCGGCGCCCAGGGGCGCTTGGCAGATACTGAAAACAGATTTTGAATCAGCGTTTAATGCTATTCAAAGTAGTAAAGCAATCATTTGGAAAGGCCACTTCGACTAAAGACGCTTCCCTTGTAAGAAATATTGGAATGGGAGCAGCGACATATTCTCAAATTATTACTAAAGTTAAGCAATAAACCTTTCGTCTCTCGCAGTTGGCTCCCCTCCCCACTTTTGGGAGACAAGACAAGCATGCTAAAGAATTTGAAGGATGAAGATCAACTGGTCGAAGAAACCACATTTAGAGTAGTAAAGAAACAAATGGGAGGAATAGCCTTCAATTTACAAAGTGGTAGAAGAAATAAAACTGCGCAATAAAATTTTTGGTATGCCAGCTATATGTACATCGTAAAAAACTGGCCAAAGTTTCGATCCGACATCTGAGAAAAATAGTCACTGATCGTTGATGGGTTATTTCTAACGTCATTAAACATCAAAAGTACCGCGTAATAACCAATGCTCTGTTTATAAGTGCTCAACGAATAACTGCAAATTTGGTTACTAGTTGTTGCCTAATTTGGTTAATTTGGTTAAGTTACTCTTCCAGATAGAGTATCCTTCTTGTACCCCGCAAACAACATAATACTTCACGGGCATCCACGGTCGATGTAAAATCGCCGTTCACACGTGAAACTGCTTCGTAGCAATACGATAAACCTCTGATATGAGAACGTTTCGTCATACTAAGCACGGACATAATTGGAGAGCTTTCTTTCTGAAGATAGTGTGAGAGATTTTTCCGACAGATTACCAATTTTCTCAATCGCTTACATTAACTGAGATCTATCTTCATTCTTGAGTTTGGTATTCATGATTTTCTATAAAATGAAAAAATGTATTTCTTCCCTTTTTTTCTAAGAAAATAATGTTGATCGGATATCTATACAATTTTACAATCCTCAAAATCTTTTCCAGTTTTTCTTGAATTCTGTCAAACATAGTCTTATGATACTCTTAAAACGAACTTTCTATTTTCACTGCAAGACTTACAATTCAACCAAATGTTGTGTTCAACAACACGATGCGTCAGATTCGCGCAAAATAGAGAGCAAGAGAACTATTCACATGAGAGGAAAATAACAGTATACTATTATGAAGTAAAACTGGAGAAGTTAGCGACAGCTTAGATCAAGTCTAAAGAGCGCTTCCACAGAATCGTGTGAAATCATTTTATGATAAACACGAAATTTATAGAACTATGGAGGTCATGGAACATGCAAACCTCATCTCATCGCTCACATAAAAATGGCTGTTGTTGTGTGTTTTCACGCCAACTTCTCCGAAAAGGGTTAGTGCTTGACCTTCACAAGGTGCGCCGAGTGAAATACTTCTCTATGATGAGACGGACACTGCAATTTCTCGCGATTGTCATATATGACATTATTTATATGAAAAGATGTTGTATAATATCATAACTTGATATCGACCTAAGGGTTGTGTGGTGTGTGTGTGTCTTTTAAAAATTTTAAAGAGCCAGATTTGTTTGACAGATAAAACAACAAAATGCATTCTAGCCTAAAAAATGAGGAAAAGATTCACTTTTACGCAAGATCGGCGTCAAAGAAGAAATTGACTAGGTAGTCAGTTAGTCAGAGTTTTACCTAAGAATTTGACAAGATTTTTGCCCAGAGATGTGACTCACGGTTGTCGTCATCCTTATACGAATATCAAGCCAAAATAACTACAGTAACTGATACAAAGATGCATTCAATTTTTTGGAGAAAACGTTTTTTTTCTCCAATATTTACCGATCTTATATGAAAAAGCTTCTGGAATGAATAGTTGTTTGAGTTCCTTCATAATGATCGGCATCGCGTGGTGAGTTTCAGGCCATAATTACGCGACTATGAGGAAGGTATAAGAGATAGTAAAGCCAGTGTGAGCCTCTACGAAGCAAAGGTGACGCACTGGATAATTAGCCATAGAGAGCTATATTGTATGACGTTGCTGGTGAGTTCCTTGGCGTTATTTGTTAAATTTTTCGATATTCCATAAAGTGGCAAAGTCTATACATGGTTTAGGAAGCTTGAATCTGCTTTACAAAATCGCTAATACTAATCCTTAAAGAAGTAACAAAAATGTACCGAAAAACTCAAATGATTTCCGACTTCGATACAAACGATTCGGAAAAGCGAACAAATTTTTGACATTTTTTCTTTTCAAGTTCTCACTTTCCTCATCGATGAAATTTAACTCGGGACTGCGTTAGATGTCTAACATTGATTCTGATAAAACCTCAAAAGAAGTGCTATCATCAAGTTTACAAATGACTTCTCAAACTATTTAGCATTTCTGACCATGCGAGAGCTATAACTTTTCCACGCGTCGTAGTTTTTTCGAGTTTCTTAGGCATTTTGACCGATCGTTGGTCACGCGTAACTTGATATGCGTATTGAATCATACGCGCTACAGATGATTTGTATGATTAGAATCTGCTCATTTTCAGTAGTTTCCTCTCGCTCTGTTGCCTCTCTCGATTCAATAAGGTGGTATGCGCTACTTAGTAGTATACATTTCTACATATGCTACGCTAAAAAGGTCCACTAATGATTTAATAGTAAGGACGTCAAAGATTGCCGCATGCTGAACAGGCTCATATATTGAGTTTAAATGAGTTAATAGTCGAAGAAATTTATTCTATCGTTTTCTATTTTCAAGCTCTAAAATTTTTTGGCCCTTTGAGGATAAGAGCTTCCAGAAGCACATTGCATCATACTGACAAGGGATGGATACTTAGTCGAAGTGGAGTTTCCATACGAGATGTATAACGTTTCGTAGAGCATGGAACGCTGAGTCCAAATCCACTTTCGATATATGCCAACCGCTTTTAGGAGTGGAGTTATAGAAATTATTTGACGCAAAAATCTGATTTCGTCTCTACAATAAAATCATTCAGAACCTTAGTCCGTGAGCTCAAATGGGCCCATGATTACTATCAGGACGTTCTATGGAATAAAGACCGTCAATCTAATAAACTTATGTTGGTCATTTCTGCTTTCAATCGCCAGGAAAACCTCAACACCAATTTTATCTTAGCCAAGTCATTGAATTCTTATCAAAAAAAAAATTCCCAGAACTCGTCTTCCAGAAGCGCTTTGCAGATACCGAAAGCAGGTTTGGAGTCAGCTTCGTTTTATGTTCTATAAGATGGTGTACACCTCATATGGAAACGCCACTTCGACCAAGTATCCTTCCCTTGTGAGTATAAAATAAATTGTTGAGAAAGATTATCAGAAAATGCAAGGAAATTATTACACAGTTACATTTCATACCACTTGAGCCTTGTACATAACAATAAGCACTTGCGAGAACCTTGTTCTCTCTACATCACTTTGTGACATCCACTTAAGCTCTAGAACAAAGCAGTCTCCCATTACGTAGCATCAGCGTTCTTGTATATTAATCAGGGTGATAAATGCGGGCAATTTTCAGTCACGAGACTGTCTGGTTATGATTTTCTAACAGGGGTCAGGGTGCCAAAAACCGTGCAAACACGATGTCACTGGAATGTAGAACGTCAAGTAAGTCAAACGTCAATGGTCTACTTGTTTGGAGAGAAAGAATGGAAAAGTCAAGATTGTGATATTAGGGTGATGATATGTGGCTGAATGCAAACACGTGTAAAAGCAATATGAGTAAAAGCAAGCGGAGTAAATATGAAAGCAAAGAAGTTCATTGAAGCAAAAGTTCTTGAAATCAGATGTAAACAAATAGCTAGACAGACTCCATTGAGCCTCTACTCCATCAAGCAAGCAGATGATTTTCATGGTCTATACAAGATCCCTTACTTCTTCAAAAGTTGGTGACTGGACCTGAGCTGACTTGTTGATGTCTCTTTCTTTGTTTTATTTGTTGCTAATTATGTTCTTAGCGGCATTAATTGTTTTAAATTTGGCACATCTTGTGCGTAATATAACAATAATAGCTATTATAGAACCTTATTCGCGATGCATCGCGGAATAACTCCTAATTGTAACCAACGTTGCTTGTCATTCGCCATTTATTCACCGTATCCAATCACCACTCTCGTGCTTATGTTTCTCAAGACAGAAAATATTCCTAGTTGTCAACAGCACATAGCAATAGATGTATAGAAGCTGGCTGTCTTACAAAACTTTATCAAAGGGGGGAAGGGCGCAGCAGAAAATTATTTTCTGTTGAAAGGTTGCAGCG